CGCCACACACCCCAATCATCACACACAATCAGACACACCTGATTGGTAATGTTTTTTTCTGTTGACCTTTGGCATATGGATTTATTTTAGTTACTGTGATGATGGAGGTCAATCTTGACTTCCCTTCCCCAGGTTAATAATAATGTTAGTAGAAGTAATAACAATAGTAATATTAATACTGTGTTAGGTAGATTGTAGTTTAGCACAAAATCAGATAAATATAAATAAATCTCTTGTTGTTCTTTGTTGTTAACTGTGATAAGATTTTCACTGTAAACTTACATTGTGTGATTAAAATGGTATGACTGGTGGTGTATAATAGGGTGTTGCTTAGGTGTCTGCCTAGAAAGAACTCTTTTTCCGGGCATTGCAGAAGTTTTCTGAATGATTTTAAAGGTAGAATTTGTCAAGAACAGAGAAGGTATCGGATAGCTGCTTCTGTAACAACAGAAGACAGGGGCCAGGCAACAGATCGTTTATTAAGGAAATCAAAGCATATTTATATATTTTCATGTTCATTATTATAGTTGAGTTCATTGGGAAATACAAAAATAAGCCTTATAATTATAATGAATATCATATACCCGATGCCCAAATTTTACAAAACACTGTTCTATTACTCTGTTTAAGTTTCAGTATAACTTGTTAAAAAAAATGAAATAAGTAAGTATAATTGATACGCTAAATATTCACCTAGATAATGGAAAATATTTATGAGTTGGAGCAGATTGTTTCATGTTTTTAAGCTAGTTATACAATGCCATGTTAGTTTAGTTATTAGATGTATCACACACAGTAAGTGAAACAGTATTATTTACTGGATGACGTTTCGAACAAAATTGATTGTTCATAATCATATCATCAATTATAATCACACGACTTTGAAACTTGAGTTTTATGACTTCTTCTACTAGTTCTTCTACTAGTTTGACCTATGTATTTGACCTGACAATCATTGCAGGCAGGGTATTAGATAAACTAAATTGTTTTGTTTTAAAGGCTCTACAGGATTGATCCTGTAACCGACAAAGCTTGTTTCTAATTGAGTTTGTGGGTTTGAACGCCAACCACTTTTATTCCTGCCTTGTTGAGAATTCTGCGTACGGCTTCCGATTTTTTTCCTTGTATGGAATTACTACTGATGATTTAGATTCCTTATTGTTGATGTTGTCATTATTATTATTATTATTATTATTATTATTATTATTATCATCACTATCGCTACTATCATTATTTATTTTATTTTTACATTTCCTTACATATTTCCTGACTAATTTATCCGGGTAATTATTAAGTTTCAAGGCTTCGTTTTTATGTGTATCAGTTCCTGTTTTAGATTTTCTTTGGTACTACTTAGTTTTTGTGCTCTGTCATTCAAAAATTTCACCAATCCTATTTTTACTGACATAGGATGGGTGGGATGATTGGAAGTCCAAATATCTGTTTGAGTGTGTGGGTTTCCTGTAAACACGCCCTAGTTTGTTTAACTTCCCATCTTCTTTCCTCTTTACGTTGCAATCTAACATTGAGAGCTCCCCTTCCTGATTTTCCAATTCATAAGTGAATTGAATTTCTTCAACCTTCGAGTTGATGTGTCCGAAAAATCTATCTATATCTTGTGTTCTAAGTACAGTGAATGTGTGATTACAATTGATATGATTATGAACAGCAATAAATTTTGTTGGAAACTGTGTCATCCAGTAAATAATACTTTTGTCACTCACTGTGTGATATATCTAATAAACAAACTAATATGGAATTACTTACTACCACAGTGCCCAAGTTTTACATATATATATACATTAGTTATACAGTGAATTGTCTCTGATATAACCGAAAGTATACGGACTCAGTGTGTTCTCTAACTGTCTTTAATTTCTGGACATTGATGTATTCACATTACATAAGACTTCGTTATATGTTTGTATAATACCAATATCCACTAAAAAGGCATGTGAAAATTTAAATCGGAAATTGTATTGAGGTACAATTATAATATGGAGTGACACAGTTAGTTATATAATATTGTCAAATAATGAATGTATATATAAAGAATGTGCAGTCATTCAAAACATAAGATGTAAAATGTGTGAATAGACAAATTCAAGATATACTAATTTATTTATATTACGTTAGACCATGGATGGATATCAGTTAGAGATCCATTGAAAAAACAATCAGGGAGTATTGAACAGCTGTTTTGTGTCAGCCTAGTTTGGGATTCTCCCTCCAAATGCAAGATGATGTTACAGGATTGGACTACACCGATTCCTACATTAGAAATAGGAAGTGAAGTGGTAGAGCACGTTGACCGCTTCACTTACTTGGGAAGTACCATCAGCTAACGCCGACGTTTTGATGTCTGACGAAATCTCAGCTGAGTACGGATACAGAGGGCTAGTTTCGCATATGCCAGTTTACGCCGTCTCTCGCTTAGTAGACATGATATCCGGCTGGTTGTCGACCAAAGGGCGTGTGTACTGCTCAACAGTTCGCTCCGTCCTCCTTTATGGCTGGCTGTGAGACCTGGCCATTGAGGGTGGAAGACATGAAAAGCCTGATTAGCTGTCTTTGATCATAGGTGTCTGCGTTCTATCTCCCGTGTGTGTGAAGTGGTATAATAAGGTGAGCAATACTGAGGTTAGGCCATCGGTCGAGTGCTAGTTGGTAAGGAGGGGAAATCAATGGACGAGACTGAAATTACATGGACTGAGATGGTTAGGACATGTGTTAGTCATGGATGCCTAGTCATCGCCTTCCTCGACAATGGGCAATGTTAGCTCACATAGGATGGGTCAGGCCGGAAAAAAGCTAGCCAGCGGCGGTCAAACGAAAACATGGCTTCACCAGTCAATGAAATCCACAACAGTTAGTTTAAGCCAGTCACGTAGAAAGGTGTAGACTGGCTTCCTGACTGGTTGGGGTCCTCGGGACGTTAAAAACCAATGAAGGTTGGAAACAATTGGTGACATGGCTAGCTCAAAGTGATAGTTCTCAATGGCTGGCTGGTGCAGATGCATCCACTCCTTGTGACTGACTTATAATTTCCAATGAAACTGTTTTGTTCTTCGTTATTACTATTCCTTTGTCTCACCACACCTCTGTTTACTGTCTCTCTCTCTCTAATATGCATTTCTCCTACTTCCTTCTTTTCTGGCTTTGTGTGGTACATGGAGGGAGTGTGTCGACTTGAACTGGCGCACATCAGTGCAAAGTTCTATGTCGAAAACAGACAGACAGGCAGACAGTTTGGGATTCAGTGGATGCCTACTGCTGATGAATCCCAAAAACTAGGCTGACAAAACAGCTGTTCCAGTACTCCTCGCTTGTTTTTTCAATGGCTGTCTAACTTATATCAATCCATCGTCTTATCTGAAACAAATTCCACCCCTAGAAACTAATTCTTGAAAAATAATGTATTTATAGTCAACAGAATGTAAATTTCATTTGGGGAGTTGCAGGGGGAGTTATATTTATTGGTGTGCAAGGGAAATGATTGCCACAAAATGTGCATCCAAACAAATGGGGAACACTCAATATAAGTTCAAGTAAGAACGGACAGATATCAAGTGTAGTGATAAAATATAAAGAGGTTAGATTGTGAACTGTAATCAATGAGCTTAGTGCAAATTTGCCAAAGGTTTACACACAATAAAAATAATAATGGAGTAAAGTGAACTAGGTGAAAAGGAATAAGAAAGTATTATATGACATGAAAATATGGATGTTAATGTCCCTGCTGACCTTATAGTAGGCCAGGGTAAACAAAGGGGATTAATTTCCTTCTTATTGACACATAACTTGCGTTATAGCTAAGAGAAATAATCGTATGCCTTTAGACAGACTGTTTGGTTTTCCATATACAAAACCGTAAATGACTCATCTATTTTGATGTGGTGTGTTCACTATTGATCTGGTTACATTTTTTTCCGAGCCAATCAAGAACTTGTTGTTGACGAGCGCGTAAAAGGTAAATTCCTCTGAGTTCGACCGACCTATATAACTAGCTCCACGTGAGCAGTCGAATTTCTATACACACATTAATGTGACCATCTTTGGTAATTTTTCTTTGGTGCTACACTGTGTCGTTAACGGTCTGTCTGGTTGAGAAAATGTTGTGTTGTGTAGTTCTGCGGCGATGAAACTTCCTTGAAGTTATCTGATCAACCTAAGGCCTAATACATCAGTCAGTCACTACATGTATCACCTGTGAACTGTATTCTTAAATAAAGCTTTTTTTCTTATTCACCGTGTCACGTTTAATTCTTGGTAGAATTTAGAATTCACAGACTGGTCATTGAATCGGGTCCCAAAGGGGGAGAATGGTATACGAGCTTGGCTTGTAACCGGAAAGTTCTGGGTTCGGACCCCGGTGCAGTGGGTGCGTACTGCTGATGATTCCCAAACACAAGCTGACGAAACAGCTGTCCAGTACTTTTTCTATTTTTCATATATTTTAATGTTTTAAAATAATTCATTTGAAGAAGCTGTTGTTGTCTACGCCTCGAACTGTTGTTTGAATTCAGTTCGTGAAACAGGTGTTTCATGAACACTGGGTTATGCGTCACATGTATTAATTATTGTCTGTGAGCTGATGAGATACTAACCAGTACGTCTGTGGCACAGCGGTTGGAACTCTCGCCGACCATGTACATGGTCTAAGGTTCGATCCCCTGCCGATGCACACCCGATATTTATAGTCGGCCTGGGAAATTTGGGCTACCGATATCCATGCTGAAAATTCCATACTTGTACCAAAAATCCAGTGTGGAATCAAGCTGTGATCAAAAATAAAAAAATTGAATAGGCAGAAGCAGATAGTGCGAATCTCTGACTCACTCGCTCGTTAGAAGTTAAATGCTTAAGTCAGTGAGCCATGTTTTCATAGCAAAGTATTTAGAAAAAGAGTTTGTTTTAAATCTTCAAACACTAGGATTTCTTTAGACAATTTTATAACAATAATTTATGTTTTTTTTTTAATGTTTTTCTTCACTATTCAGGGAAGTTCAGTGTCCAATGGCGTTGGAGATTTTGATTCACACAATGAAATTCATGCATTTAAAACACAACAGTCAAACGATTCAAATAACAATAGTAACAATAATAATGGAATCCTTCAATCTGGTGATAATATGCACTTGAATTTTGCTCAACATGATCTAATATTGAAACAGAGAACACTGGCTGAATTGGAACGTGTCAGTCTGCGTAGAGCAGTGATTGAAGAACGTCGAAGATTTGCTGAATTGCTTACTTGTTTGAAACCAGTTCTGGTTAGTTTCTCTTTATTATTGTTATTTGTTTGTTTGTTTTAACTAGTTAGCATATTTTGCGGCAAGTTTGACCGCGGATTGATTTCAATATGTGTTGCAGCGCACTGCAGAGCAACCTATTTGTTGATTAGGTAACTGCAGGTGGATAAAGAAAGAATAACAATGGTGGTTTGTGCAGAATAAAGTGGTACTACTGTAAAGAAGACAAGACTGAGGAGGCTGAAAGGAATGTTAATTTCGTGAAACGTATGGTACATAGCTAAATTTGGTATGCCATATTCTCAACCGGCCATTTGCATATCATTTACCACATCCTTGACGAATTGGTTGAACATCGTCTCATTCGATAGCTTCTTGGATTCTGCAACATATGGCAACATTCTTCTCATGGTTCTCTTCTTTGATTGCTCTTTCCAGTGTGCCAAACATATTGTTACTTCGTTTCTGATATACTACTTATATCGGATTATAAGTAGCGCTCACCACACTACCACATCAGTGCTTATTTTGTTGGCTTCTCATCAGCTGCTGCTTGCAGCCTAAATAAATTGTTATTATTAAATTTATGTACTGAAACAATTTTAACATACTTGCAAATTATGCATGATGTCAGGTCACGTGCTGCGCATGCCTAACCATCGCCCCCCCCGACGAGCATTACTAGCTGATATAGGGGCAGGTTGGAAAAGAGTCGAGTTCCACTCGAGCAATAGCCTGGCGTGTGATATCACTTGGTGGTTTTCTCAGAGTATGGCCGGCTAATCCATCTCCATTTCTTCCTGCCTATTTGTTTCACAATCGGTTGGTTCCTGCTGTGTTGGTTCGCTCATTGCCAGAGATCCCTCTCTGTTGCTGATCTTTTCTGGCCGGCCGGCCATCTGATCTTGAGTAGTACTAAGCGAAGACAACTGGCTGTTGATGAAGGTGTGTATTTTGTTTGAGATGCTCTTTATGACGCGAAGTGCAAGTCTCTGATCCGTATAGTGAGTAGCACTGACTGACTTCACATTGGAGTTGAAATTCCGGATGTTATTTTTGGTGCTGAATGCTGTTGACCTCCACACAGACTTGAGAGTAGGTAGTGAAAGCTTGTCTTGCTTTTCCGATCCTCGCTACTTTGATATCCTCGTCAGTTCCATTTGCCTGTAGTTGAAACGATACTTCCCAGGTCGGTTGGTGAAGGAGGTTGTTTCTTTCAGGTTCCTTCCATTTATGCTGGCTGATTGTTGTCTGTTGTTGTTGTTGCTGTTGGTGGTGTTGCCCAGGAATCTTCATCACCTCTGTTTTCTCTATGTTCACCTGAAGTCCTTCCTATCTTCTCTGGATGCTTCTTCTGACAACTTGTTGCTTTTCGCTTGCATATCTTCCAGTTTTTGGGAATTCAGACATATATCCTAGGCGAAGTCAAGATCCTGCAAGTTTTTTGTGTGAGTCCATTTTATGCCTGTTTCCTGATTGCCCACTGTTTGTCGCATTATCCAATCTACTGCAATCAGGAAAATATTGAAGGTCAAATGGCTGACCAGGAAGAATTCTGGTCTTGTCTGGATTCAACATAGAACTTGGCACCGAGAATTAACAACAAGAAACTCTGAGAACGAATCAACCAAGGATCTATTGCTAAACATATATGTAGAAGGAAAAGGAGACAGATAAGGCACACGCTGAGGAGACCGTTGGGTTACATCACAAGCCAAGTAGAACCTCCAGTGGAATCCAAATGGGAAACAACAAGTTGAGTGTGGATTCAAAGTTGAAATGGAGGTGATCATGTGAGAAGGAGGTGAGAGAGACTATAGGCAATCAATCGTGAGGCCAGCGATGTTGAATCCTAATGTTTCACTCAGAGCCCTAGGAAAAATATTATTTATTATTATTATTTTCATCAATTGTAACTGCACAACTTCCTTCCCATCTATCCTAAGGGTATTTGAAATTTCCAGATGTCCGGGACAGATGTTGAATCATGCCTATCGCATGCATTTTCAGTTGCTTCGATAAATAAAGCGTCAATTATTGATCTTTGATTCCATTCGCTTAGAATGACATTATAAGACTGTCATCCTGTCCCACTCTACTGAATATAATTACATGTAGTATTAGGGGTATTCTCGAACAAAGCATGGAATGGTAATTAAACCTCTACCTCAACTTTATACACTTTTGAGAAGGCCTTCGGCAGCGTTGACCGCGAAGTAATTTGGAAATTACTCGAATAATATGCCGTACCCCAAATATTCATCAACCTAATTCAAAAAGCTGTACGACAACGGCACATGTTAAGTGATCTACAACAGAAAACTCAGCGAGGCATTCCGAGTAAACACAGGAGTCAGACTAGGGTGATTATTATCACCAATGATATTCCTAATTGTGGTGGACTGGATTATGCGTCAGACAGTGGGAAACGAGAAGACAGGGATATCCTGTACCGACCGACGTGAATAACCTAGAAGACCTGGATTTCGCGCGTGGATGATTTATGTTTGATGTCACACATAATCGAAGACCTACAAGCGAAAGCCGACCGACAAACTGGTCGAAGAAGCAGCAAAGACAGGACTTCAGCTGAACATAGACAAGACGGAAGTTATGAAAATAACCAACCAACAACAACAGCAACATCCAGTGCCAATCAACACCAACGGGAGGGATTTGAAAGACGTTACTTCATTCACTTATCTAGGGAGCATTGTCTCAACTACACGAGGAACGGACGAGGATGTCAAATCGAGAAGGTGAGAAACACATTCATCAACCTGAAACCAATCTGGAAATCTTCGTCACTCACTCAGCATCAACAACAAATTGATTCGGATTTTCAATACAAACGACGTCAAGTCAGTCAGTTCTTCTATACGGATGGATCAGAAACTTGGCGGGTGACAAAGAATATTTTCAACAGCCTGTTGCAGACCTTTATCAACAACAACTGTCTTCGCTGGCTCTATACTCAAGATCAGCCGACAAGAAACTATGGGAAGAAACAAAACAAGAAGGAATCGCCCAGCAAATATGGAGGAGGAAGAAGTGGAGATGGATTGGACACTCTCTGAGGAGGAGGCCGCTGGGTGACATCGCGCGTCAGTCAGGCCATAGCTCGAGTGGAACCCGAAAGAGAAGCGGCGAGTTGGTCGTCAGTGCAAGGGTGACATGGAGGAGATCGTGTGAAGAGGAGTTGAAACAGTATGGAATAACATGGATGCAGGTGAAAAGTACAGCAGAAGAGAGAAGCAAGTGGAGACGTGCAGTTGAAGCCCTATGTTCCACTAGGAACCCAAGGGGGGAACAATAGTAATAATAATAATGATTAGGAAGAAGAATAGGGATTATAAAATATTGACTGTGGTTACGTACGACATGACATAGGAACAATAATAACATTATCCATTCCGTAATTAATACTCTTTCACTCTTTGTTTGTGTTTGTGTGTGTGTGATATTTATATCTAATAAACAAATTAATAATGGAATAATGTTGATCAGATTTGATTTAATCTGATAACAATTAATCGATCTTTTGTTGGAATCTTCTGTACTCTATTAGAGTTTGTCAAATTGTTTTCAATAAAGTTTGTTTGGTAATAACACATGAGCGCACGCACGCACGCCCACACACACACACACATACTGATACAGTATGTATGACTAGGATCAGGTTTCAATCTCAGTTTATTGCTCAAAATTGTTTTTTATGTGTACAAACGACTTGTTAACTTGCTTAATGTACTGCTTTCTGCTAACTTCTGTCATTATTATTATTATTGCATCATGGTTCCTTTGGGTCCCGCATGAAACAGGGGGATTCAAAATGACATTTCCACTTTTTCCCTATTCTTTGAGGTCGTTTTTAGCTGGCCCACGATTAGCCCTATAGTCTCTTGCCTCCTCACACATGATCACCTTCATGTTATCATCCTCGGATACACTGATTTGGATCCCAATCGGGGGTTTTGCTTGGCTCGCCCTGGCTCATCCAACAGTCTCCTCAGCGTGTACCCCTAATCTGTCTCCACTCTTTCTTCTACACATATATGTGTTGAGCAATAGATTATTGGTTGGTTGGTTTGTTCCCAGATTATCTTAGTGGCTAATTCTTTCGGGTCATTTAGTTCTCGCTTACTTGACTGGTTCGCTAGTTTTCTAGCAGGTCCTAAGTCCGGGAAAAGCGGAGGGGGGAAGGTTGGGCATGAGGCTGATGGACACCCTACCCCAGAAAATCCATTCAGTCGCTACAGGGATGGGAGAGATGGAATGCTGCTGACTGGTGAAATCCTCTGGAACGAACTCCTGTGTTTCTGATGCCAGTTTTCCACACAGACATCAGGGATTGATGTTGAATTGTGTTTCTACTGTATGTAATGGGTGATTAATCTCTCTCCCTCTCTCTTTCTGTCCTTCTTCGTCGAACTATATTTCGTTTTACACAATGATTTGACGCTATCCTCATCCTTATTGTGTGCGATTGCATTGCCATGATTTATCTTCTTTCGAGACTACTTAACGGGATCAGTCATTCTAGATCTAGCTAAACTTCTCGTGTTCGATAATCTAACTGATCACCGTAGTCTACTAGTTTGACTTGTTTAATTTGACCTTACAATCATTAGACGAATAATATTTGATAAATCATATTATAGTTAGAGAGCCATTGAAAATCAGGGAATACTGGATAGCTGTTTCATCAGCCTAGTTTGGGAATCATCGGCAGTACGCATCCACCACCAGAGTCCGAACCCTGGACTTTTGATTACAAGCCAAGCTCGTATACCATTCACCCACTGGTACCTGATTCAATGGCTAGCCCATGAATTCTAACTTCTACCAATTCGTGATTCTAGCGCGACTGGCACCAACCAATGTCATCGGTGGGAAATCCATCCTCACACTTCACTGATGATATCAATCCGTGGTCAGACTCGTAAAAATAAATCTAATCCTTACACACTAACTCCTGTAAATTAATCTGATGCTCGCCAGTGATGACTGGCTACAGGACG